CCGAGCTGCGAGCTGAATAACAGGCCCCGCCGCCCGGCCGCCGAGGGGAGGGGCCTCCGCGGCCCGGCTCCGCCCTCTACCTCCCGTTCCCTCTTGAGCCTGTGCGGGGTTCCCGCCCCAATCCCCCCTCCCCCAGGCACCACGGCGTTCCCACTCCACGTCCCCAGCGCCTCCGCCCCTCCTCTCCAGCCTGGGCTCACTCGCCCCGGGTTCCCCTCCCTCCCGCATCTCGGGCTCTGGCTGAGGAGCGCTGGGGTGGGGGTTAAGCCCGGCGGCAGGGTCTTCTCGGGTCTCCCCTCGCCTCTGCGGTGGAGAAGGGCGCGGCGGATGGGGCCTTGGCCTGCGCGAAGATGTCCTGGGGTTGGGACTGTCCCTAGCCGCGCATGGATGGACAAGGCTCCCCAGAAGGGGGTGCGTGAATGGGGAGCTCTTTGTGGGGAACACAGCCCAGGTGCCGCCCCCTCGCCGGACCCTTCTTCCGTCTAGGCCCCGGGACTCCAGCTGAGGCTAATCACCAATTAAGGCGAAGTCCTGGAGCCTGCTCTGGCGAGGGGCCAGGGGTGGGGCGCGGGGACAGTCCACCAGCAGGGGCTCGGGACCCACTGAAGTGGGGGGACACACAGCGGACTGGAGGGCGCCAAGAAGCGTGGAGAGCTCAGCGTTTAAATGGGTCTCATGCAAATTAGATGCGAACATTTATGCTAGTAAGAGCAGCGTATTTTTGAATCCGCCACTTTGCGCAGGATGGCAAACTGTGCCCCGCCCCACCCTACTCTCAGCTTACCGGGCAGCGGAGCCCAGGCGGGGACCTCACGTTCGCGCTCACCTCTCACATCCCCCTCCTTACAGTTAGACTCTGAATCGGTATCCCCCGGCCCTAGGGGGCTTCTCTTCGGGGGCTGCAGGGATAGAATGATCGTAAGAAACCCGCTCTCCACTCCCAGACCTGACCTCCTGCTTCCCCTCCTCCCTCCTGTCAAAATCCACTTCGTTATAAAAGGGTCGCCAAGGCTAGGGTGGAGGAAGTTCGTGCCTATGGTCCTCTTAGTGGAACTCTCGGATTCCTACGACTGCCCCAAGAATTCTTGTTTGCGGGTAAACTGAGTTCTGGGGTGCAGCCATCATGAAGGCCCCTAAAGATCCCAGACACCACGGTGGCCCCCCTTTCTTACCCCCTCCGGCCCGGGTAGGGCACATGCTCGCAGCATGCCCCCCATGACCTCCAGCATCCGGTCCGTGCGGCCAGGGGCGGGGCGGTCCGGGGGCTTCATGCTGGACCCCTACCCTCCTCCAAGTTTCAGAGCCGAGGGGGCACGGAAGCTGGGGGGCTCTGAGGCCTGCGCGCGTCCGGGGAGTTGCCCGCGCCGAACCCGCCCCCTGCCCGGCTCCGCCCCTACTCCCACCCCAGCCAAACTTTTCAAAAGTGGTAGGGTTGTTCCTTTCTCTACAACCCGTAGTTCAACAGCAAACAAACCCCTCTTAATCCTTACTCCAACGTCGAAGCACGATCCAGGGCTTTGCAGTGTCATCCTGGGGCCCACCAAGTATATGCCGTTTTCCCAAAGAGACTGAGGAGGCCCACAGAGAGTTCCCGAACACAGCCCCCTTCCCCTTCTCAGCAGGTCTGGCTCCCCACCCCACCCCCTCTCCGATCCACGAAACAGAACGGGTGTGGCATAGAGAGTTGCATATTTTACTTTATTTTTATTAAATTAAAAGCTACAGTCTGGCGGCGATTCCAGAACAGGGTAAGGAGGCTCCTTATAGGGGGCAGAGAAGAGCGAGAGAAAGACTGACAGAGACAGAGACACAGGAGAGGAAGGGCAAGGTTAAGGTAGAAGGCGAATTGTTTCGGAAGAACACACGCGGCCGGCTCCAAGGGGGCTCCCAGCAGCCGGATTCCCCCTCCCTCCGCACGGAAGTTCTACAGTGGGGTAGTATGTGAGGGTGGGGGGTTCAAGAGACCCTCCCCTCCCCACCCAGGTCCTTTCTCAGCTTAGTCACTGGAGCACAGCACATACCAGAAGAAGCCAAGGGCAATGGAGGGGGCGGGGAGACTGGGAGTATGTACACAGGGAGGAGGGGAGCAGAGCCTGGGACATAAGCCTCTGCCAGAAGGGAGTGGCTCACACTGCACTGAAGCACTCAGCCTGTGGGGGACTGGGGAAGGGATCACCCCTCCCTGTCTGAACTCCTTCCCCAGTAGACAGTCCCCTACTCGAGTGGTGTGGGGGGCAGAGGGAGAGAGAGAGCAGAGGCTTCCGTTGGGTCCTACTGGAGAACGGCAGGGGCCTCAAAAAGGGGATGTCTTTCAGTCATCGGTGATGCCCTTGGCTCTCAGCTCCTCTTGCACCCGGGTCAGGTAGGTAGGGTCTGGGTACCCAAACCTGGGAGCAAAGAGAGATGAGGGTCAGGGTTAGCTGTTCAAGCTTACACTCATATTACCAGTCCCCTGTGCTCACCCTCATTCTGGTTCCTCATTCTGGCCCCTCCCCACCTCTCCTAAGGTTACCCAAACTCAAGATAACTGAGCCCAATTCTGCTTATTTTTTGTAGGTTAAGCTGGGGACATCGGGACCGGCCTGAATATAGGAGAAAGTGGCATGGAAGAGAGGGTTGAACAGTTTGGGGTCAGTCGTCTCCAATCAGGGGGTTGATGAGAGAGGGGATTGATGCTGTTCCCTCTGGGAAGGGAGAGAAGGGGAGGAGCCCAAGGGAAGGGAAATGAAAGAGTATCGCACAGCTGGGGTCCCCCTGTGCAGCTGGTCTTGTGGTGGATGTCGTTCCAGGTGATGACATTCGGTCTCCCTGTGGTCATGGACGTGCCGATAGTGAAGGTGAGGCGCTGGTCAAACGCCTTGCGGAACAGGGTCAGCACCTTGTTGCCCTCAGGGCAGTCCGGGAGGTAGGCCACCCGTGTGGTGCCAGGGTACCGAACTCCTGGGTTTGGATGTTCAGCCTGTGGGGGCAGGGAGGCAGAGTGGGCAGTGAGCAACTGGGCATCTTAAGGCCCATGACACCAATGGAGAGGCATCCTGGCCAGCCTGCTAGCTGTGTGCTCCCAGCTGGCGGGGCAGGGACAGGCTGACAGCCTCCCAGGGAAGGAGCTGCTCTAGGGTCTGGCAGCACGAGCCTATTTCCAGATAAAACCCTTACTGTTAAAGAGGTCCTTTCTGCTGTCCCAATCCCTCAAGTCTCAATTCAGCAATAACCTGAGTCTCAAAGTGATGGAAGGCAGCTGGTCCTTCCTCTCCAGATAACTCAGCAGACATGTGAAGACAGAATAATTTATCTTTCAGCCTTCCCTTCTCCACCAGAAAACAATCCCAATCCCAATGTCTAACCTGTTCCACTTTTCTATTAGTCTCCTTCAGAGCTTCCTTATGCCTCTGCAAACCAGAACTGGACATTACTGTTTGTCAAGCAGGAAGACACCTGTAGGCTCTTGAACACTCCTGTTTTTAACCTTCCACTGTCATCAAGGTTTTCTCTCTCACAAATCTGGAATGGAGTAAAACTCCCAGCCCTGTGAGAGGGGGTCAGATCCTTCCCACTGTGCCTGCCTGCACCCGAGCCACCATTTCCACAGATTTCACCTCTACCAAGAATAGCTATCAACATCCAAGTTCATCAAGGAAATAGAATTGGATCCCTTTCTCTCATACATGATTTTCCCGAGGGTCTTGGGGTCGTGGGGATGGAAAAGCTAGGCCTCAAGGGGGCGTCTAGCTCCAGGGCACTGAGTGGGAAGGCATACTGGGAGAAAGCAAGACTGCATCACCGTCTAACAAACACACACCACTCTCCCAGTTTTCCTAGGTCAGGGAACGAGTGTGGGGAAAACCAAAGGGTAAGGACAAGTGGAAATCTTCTTACCCCCTGGACACCGGGCGGGAAGACGTACTGGATGACGATGGTGCCATACTTCTCATAGCTGGGTAGCAGGAGTGTGGCATCCTTAGAGACCAGCATCCGCCCATTCTGGGGCTGGTTGCCCACCAGCTGCCCGTAGAAGCGGCCACACATGGGGCAGGCCTTTTTCACTTGCAGGGCCCGGGTGATGCAGCCCTCGCAGAATGAGTGCCGGCACTTCTCCAATGTCTTGGCGTTCTGGATCTCCCCGAGACAGATGGGGCAGGTGCTCTCCTGCTCTTCTGCCTCCTCCCGAAGGCGGGGAGGAAGAGGCGGGGGCAGGGGAGGAGGAGGTGGGGGAAGCCCGCGGGCCCCTGGGGGCAGGAGTGGGGCTGCTCGGAGAGGGGGTGGGCCTGGGCGGTGCAGCTCAGGGTGCTCCCCTCCACCCCCCAAAGCCAGGCAGCCCATAAGCTCCCCCTGCCTCTGAGCTTTCTTTAGCTCTTTCTCTGCCTCCTTTAGCAGCCCCTTGAGAGCCTTCCGGGCCAGGTAGAGCCCATTGGGAGGGGCCGGGGGCGGGCCCTGTGGGGAAAGCTGGAGAACATAGATGTCAGAAGTCTCGCCGTCTATGAGGATGGACACACGGTGCTCCTCCCGAAGCCGGGCCAGCCGGGCTGGGGTCTCCTTACTTAGGAAGTCCCACACAGGCTTGGAGACAGTCACTTTGTTCTTGCAGGTGCCTCCACAGGCTGCCATTCTGGACAGGACGAACGACACTGCCCCCAGGGTGACAGGGACTCAGGGTGGGGGGGGTCCCCATTTGACAAGTACCAGTGCCTCCTACTTCAGGTTCCTTTCCCGCTCCACTGTCTCAAAGTCCAACCCCCAGCTCCTCCCCCAAGTTCATTTTCCAATTCCTCTTATCTTTCAACCCCCAGCACCCACTGGAGAGCAAGAATGCTTCTATAACTTTATTATTATCATCTAAGGCAAGCATCAATCTTGTTTCTCCTACACACCTCCCAAGATCACAGAAACAACCTTTCCCTCCCCCACCCCAGGTGGAAACTGGGATCTGTAAAAGGGAAGGAGACCTTTTGACCCTCCTTTTTGCTCACTTTGATCCTGAAGAGCTTAGAATTGGCATGCAGGCTCTCTCTCTCTGTCCCTGCTCCCTACTTGTAGGTTGTGTGACCTGGTGGGTGGAAAGGGAAAGAGGGAAAGTGAGAAATCCCTTCCCCCATTCCCACACACCCCAACCCAGCAGCCCATGGAACGGAAACAGAACCTGGGTGTAAGTTACTGAAGATGGGGTAACTGGGAACATCAAGTGGAGGAAACCAATTTAAAAGTGAAAGTTGAGGTTCTCATGGAAGGCAGGTACCTGGAAAGCCCATGGACGATGCTGACAGCTGCAGAAATCCCTGTTTGCACACTCAGCTGACCAGGCCTGGGGGATGGGCAGAGTGGAGGGGTAAAAGGTTAGGATGACAAATATTATCATTTTCCCATCAGCCCAGAAACAAAACAAAAACTCCTCTTCCATTTCCTCTTCTTGTCTCTTGCAGAATTCCATCCCCAGCCTCTCGCCAAACTGCTAAAGAAGGAACTTCAACATGCTAACTTTCCTCTGTCTTCCCCAGCTCTGAGGCTCTTAAGAAAGCCTAGGGACACAGCTGAGAGAAGTCAGTAAGGGAAAAGCCCACACAGACAGAGGTCTTTTTTGCCACCTCCCTCAGATCACATGGACAAGAATATTTCCTTTTCTCCTCAACTCCTCGCCCTGCTCCATGTTTCCAAATAATTCAGCCCCTATGCTGGGGAGCCTTCCTTGAGAGCTAACCCAGTCCCTTCTGCTGGAGTCTGGAATGCCGACGAAGTGACAGCAGCCCCTACAGTCACAAAGTTCTCACTGTCAGCTTTTAAACCCAGGACTCGAAGTCCAAGCCTGTCAGCAACCTAGGCTGCATTTAGGGACGGGTGGGGCTCGCGCAGGGGATGGACTAGAGGAGCCTGTTTCCCGAGTCTTGCCGTGTTCAGCTAGGAACTGGCCCTACAGTACCTCCAAATGCAGCCCAAAGAGGAAGAAGGGCTGTTACTGTGACCTCAATTCCTTGGCTGATCCAAAGGGGAACAGCTCTCCTTTTGTGCTTCCATCGTAGTCCCCTCAAGGCCAGAGGCACCTCAAGATTCAGAAAGTGAAACTGGAACCCTAAAGCCTCAGGTCATACTGTCCATCCAGGTGGAACACCCCCTCCCCATATGGCAGAGGGAAGCCAGGACTTAAGTGTCCCTTGCTCCAAGTCCTGCTGGCACAGAAAAGGGAGGCGGGGCCACAGTTTATGCTGGGTCTCTGATTCCTCTGGGGCAACCCAGGCCGGACACAGGGCCAGTCCCTCCCGCCAGACAGAGGCCGGCGACAGGGGCAGCTGGGAAGGACCAGGGTCCCTGGGGCATCAGCGGAGGCATCTCCACCCCTCCCCCCACGACCATCCTGCAAGACCCGACCCGGAACCCACCTCCCCACGACTCCCCCTCCTCGGCCGGACGCCCCCGGACGTCCCCGACCACCTGGGTGGGGGGTGGCGATGTCGGCCCCACTCCGCGGGCCCCCGGAACCCCCAAATGGAGGCCAAGGCTGGAGGGTGATAGAAAGAGGATCCGCCGGGCCCGGAGGGGCCCCCGGCGCCGCGCGCGGGGGAAGGAGGCGGAGGAGGGGGCGCAGGGGGAGCAGGAGGGCGCGCAGGGGGTGCGAGCCGGGCCCGGGGGGGCGCGCGGTGGGTGTGGGGGGCGCCGGGCTCACCTACCTCTCGTCAGCGCCGCCATTGCCGGTCACATGACTGAGGCTGTTGCTGGGATGACGGTCTGGGCCTTAGCAACAAGGGGGGGGAGACCCCGAGAAGGTGGGGGATATTTTCCAGGGGGTGCAGACTGAGGGAAAGGGAAGGAGGGAGGATGGCACCCTCTTTCCCCTCACAGGTGATAATCACCGTTCCCTCTGACCCCTTCAATCCACACGCCCCTGCCCCTCTGCCCCAAAATAAAAATGGAGGCGCCGTCCCAGTCTTTGGAGGGAGGGGGTGGTGTCGTGGAACCGAGGGTAGGAGGTTAAACCCCTTTGAGACGCCACCCTTCTCGTTCCCCCTCCTGGGAGGGGCTCGCCCCCCTTTCTTCTCCAGCCAGCTGTGTGGCGCCTTCTGGGAACTGGTGGTGGGTGGGTGGGTGAATGAGAAGTGTCGGTTTAGGTAGATGGGGAAGAAGGGGTTGATTTTTCTGTGATCCTTTTTCTAGAAGGGCCTTTAACAAATATGAGATAGGAAGAGTCATATTAAAAAGAAAACCATTGGCTCTGAAAAAAAAAAAACAACCACCCAAGACTAAACTGTTTCAATCCCCTCTCTCATCTGCCTTTTCCTGGATTGTTACCTTCTGTGACACCCCCAAAACCTGCTCTCAGATGGGTATTGGTAAGTGCCTCTGATTTTTCTCTTTCCACAAACAGGGATACCCAGGCTGATGCAGAATGAGAAGTGAATACATTTTTTGGAAAAATGCCTTAGAGTGGTGGTGGTGTCACGTCTATGGTTAAAATGGAGTTAAAAACTCTCAAGGGGAAAAAAAAAAACCTCTTCGCTGTTCTGCTTCCCACATCAGAGCAATCTCCACCCCCAGTCCAACTCACTTCCCTGGGGCCACATCAGCCAGGTTTTTCCACCAGCCAAAAGATCTCCTCGGCCAAGCACTACTGGATGGATCTCCCAGACTGGCAGCAACCTCTGCTCGTCCACCCCCTTTTCACTCCCCCTCCGGGCTGGATGGTTGGTCACTTTCTTCTCCACTTTCCCAGGACCCTGCTGTACTCTTCCTGCCCTCCAGACAGAGGACATCTTTCCCAGGAAGCCTGGGGGAACACTGAATTCCTTCTCTTTTAGCTCATGTTCGTGCTGCTGATAGACTTGCTCACCTTTACAGATTCGGGGTGTGATCTAGTTGAGAACCCTGGGGGAAAAGGGAGGGTCATAGCATCTCAGTTGTCCCTGAACTCCCACAGAATTGGAGAATGTTTTCCATTCCTATGCACACCCCTTGCAACCTTTCAAGTTCACAGCTGTCTATCTAGGAATCCACATTCTTAGTTAGGGGCCCAACAACTTAAAGGTCAGAATTCTTCATCTGGTCTCTGCATCCCTAAGCACAGGCTTGCAAAAAACGGGAGGAGAGGGGGAAAGAGGCATTTCTGTGAAGGAATTTGGATTCAATAATTTATTTTCTATATAGTGACAGCAATGAGTAAATATACACGATATTTTTAATTAATTAATAAAACAAAAAGGTGAAAAACGGAAGCAACAATGAAGAAAACCATAATGCTTATGATGTATCAGCCAAATGGTCAGAAAACCCATTTCTAAAGAACAGCAGTTGCTGGTGTCATGGAGTTTTATTGCATTCAACAGGGGAAAGGAAGACCGCTGGAATGAAAAAGATCCATCAGGCTCCATCAGGAAGATAGTATAGGGGCTCCAATCCTTAACTGGGGACTCCTCTTGTTCCTTCCTTTGGAGCAGAAGATGGAGGAGAGGGAGAAATTCTCCTTTATGACCTCATGACTTCTTGTGAGACAGATCAGTCCAGCCAGATACAGAGCCAAGAGCCTTTGCACCCCCACAGGTTAGTTGCTGGTGCCCATCTTTGTTTTAGAGAAATGCAGATGCCTGGGAGGGGGGGTGCAGAATCAAAAGAATGTCTGCTTTAGCCCCAGAGGCATTGGAGGGAGAGGAGGACACCATCTCAGCTCATCAGGGTCCTCCGCATTCTGAGAATATCACGCATCAACTCAGCTCTCTTTGGAGGGGGCTGGGTGATTGAGTTACAGCTCTGACTCCTCTCTGGGGGTGGAGAGTGAAGATGACAAAGAAGGCCATCTGTCCCCTGGGAGACACAGTAGCAGTATAAGATGGGACAAAAAAGAACAGAATAACAAATCCAACTGGAAAAAAGGGTTTCAGAAGGGGTGGGGGAAGGAAGTATACTAGGGCCACATTTCCGGGGAGTAGAGGAGGTCCCTACACGTGAGACCTCTATCTTCTTGAAATGACAAGGGTTGACCCAGATAGAGATATTCCTTCCCTTCTGTTGGGACTAAAACCTCATGGATGGCCAGACATGAAGAAAGGAAATTTAACATGAGGAATGAGCCTTACAGCCCTGGCCCATCCTCCTAGCCTCCAGAACTGGCCACACCCACACTGAAGGGTTCCAGCCCCAGGAGGGATATGAGGTCCTGGTGAAGAGCAGCAATAGTCAAACGTTCCACCCTGGATTCAACACTTTGGTGGCCAGGCCATCTCTGGGCTCCTGTGCCCAGAAGTACATGGGTCGGCGTGAAAGTCGGGTGCAGGAAGAGACTGGAGAGTAGTCAACCCTTGACAGAGACCTTCTCCAGTTATCTGCATAATCACAAGAGTCCTCAGAGGTCCCACCTCCATGAGGTGCCAGGCTGCTGAGCACTCTCCACCCCACCTTTTAAGCTCCGCCACATCCCATCATGTGTACGCATGTCTGCACCCACATCTGTAGTATCTTGGAACATCTTCCATCCCAGGGCCTACTGGGAAGGAAGCATGCCACAATGAGCTCTATAAAGTTATCAGCAAAATTCAGATACTCTTAGTGCATCTCATATGACAGAAGGCATCCAGAGTAGTTGCTTGAGCCAGGTCCATCTGTCCAGTCAGGTCCTGAAGATGGCAAACAACCCCCTTCCCCCAGCTCCTCCTAGGTTATGGAAACAACAGGACATCTTACAAAGATCAAGGCACTTGGGAGAGTCAACAGTAACACTCTAATGAAGCAAGCAGACTTGTTGAGGGGAAGGGAGAGGAGGAGGGAAGGGGAGAGAGGTCAGTGTAATTCCGAGGGCCAAGAAGAGCCTACTCCACAAGATGGAGTTATTTGGATGGAAGGCGCTTGTAGCCTAAAGTCAGCAAAGGAGGAAGAGAAGTGGCCAGGATATCCACAATTGCCCCAAGCCTCTCAGAACCCCACCACCTGGAACATAAAGCAGCAGTCACCATGCAATCAGGCCGTCTCTTAGGCAAAGATGTTGGTAATAAAATCCAGGAATCGCTTAGCATACTGCTCAGGATGGACAGTCGAGATCTCTGCCCCCGCCTGTGAGAAGAGGTATGGAAGATGGTGTCAGTGCCCTCCTTTCCCATGCCCCACCCTCTGCGCCATCCAGACCAATTCCATACCCAACCCCTCGTTCTTTTGCCACCCCACTGCTCTGACACGACTCTCTCTTCCCAAAGAACAGTCAAGACAGGAAAGGAAAGACTTGAGAGAACCCTCACCCCATGCTTGACAGTTTTGGCGGCATGAGCTGCTTTCTTCTTGGCATCATACTGTGTCAGGATGTCAATGAGGCCCATGAAATAAACCTCCTTCTGGGGGGCCCCTGGGTAGAGAGACCAGGGGAAAGAGACCAGCAGTGAACAGCAAGTGTAGTCCCAAATCCCTCTCCCCAGGAACCAGTCAGATCTGTGAAGAGCTAACCAGCTTCTCCACCCACCACCCTGGTCCCTGTTCCCCAGGAACTACCTCCCCGTCCTTAAAATTTCCAGGATCTCTCACCCTCCGCGCTCCGGATGGCGTAGACATCAATGAAGGATTCAAACTCTCCAGGGCCCAGGGGCCGGTGGGAATGGATGTAGCCGCCGATACCCTCAGGGGAAGTACCATAGGAGCCCACCAGAGCAGGAGGCCCAGTCAGGCCGCAGTCCCCATCCCCCTCTGACTCCTCCTCCCGCACAGGTCCCTCCTCCTCCGGTTCAGAGCCCCGAATGATGTCATGGATGCCCAGCAGAAGGCTGTAGTCCATGATCTTCAGCTGCACTAGGAACTGAGACCCCAGTGACAAATGAGACACCCCAGATCCTCCTCTCCACTCCCAAGTACCACCCTTATACCTCCACCCCTGAATTTCTGGGGCCCTCCTGGGGAAGTGTGAAAATTGAGGGTTGGGAGTATACTATTGCCCTTTGTTACCTAAATGTCCTGGTATCTAAGATCATCCTTTTAGCTCATTCCAGCCACTTCCTCCATAGGTCACCACTAGGGGTTTTCATGTCTCATACCCAACTCCCCTACATGCAGAAAACCCAAAGGGAAGGGGAGGAGTTCCCTCATATTGTGAATGGGAGAGACAACTGCCCTGTGGGGAGCAAAAAAGGGAAACAGAGCCATTTCCCCAGCACCCCAGTCATCACCTCCACATCTCTCTTTAGCTTCTCTAGAAAGACCTTCTTCTCCTCTTCACCAATATAGACTTTCTGGTTCTTGTTGAGAAAGTCCATATCCTTAAGGGTGGGCAATTCTTTCACCTGAGAATAGTTAAAGGGACGTCTTGCGACCACAGCCCTTCCCCCGCGGTCGGTCGCAGCAAGCCCTGCTCCATCTGGGGCTCCGTCTCTAACTCGGGGGCCGCCAGGGGAGAGAGAGTCACGGCCCAGCTCTCATCTGGCTCCGCGCTGCGGTGCTGCCCAGTCTGTTCTCACCGCCATGGCTCCCCCAGCCTCAGTCACTGCAGCTACACCTGCTTTTTGCCTATGGTTTTCAGTCCAGACCCTCAAGCTGACTTTTCTTTCTTCCTCTTAAGCAGAAACAGCTGCTTGAATATGAAAGCTCAGAATGGAAGGTGGCAGGTAAGCATCTGGCTCTTGAAGTCCCCGAACCTTCCACATGGGATAACCCGTGCCAGCGACAAAGCAGCTCTTCCCGCCGCTCCTCCCCAACAATCCCTGGATCGGTGACAGTTCACATCTCTCTTCTCTTTGGTGGTTTAAGATAAAAATAAATAGCCGGTGATCCCTACTTCTTTATCCTAAGGAGATCCCTTTCACCTGCCCTCCCCCATCCCTCACCCTGTCACTTAAAATTATATCACCTTCTCCTTATCGCTGGCTTCCCGGGACACTAGCGAGCCCTGTGAAGAGACCCAAAGACTAAGTCAGCAAAAATGGCTAAAAGAACAGCCAGAACCCAGCTCCTAAGACAAGTGCTTAAACCCACAGCCCTCTTTCCTTTAAAATGAGTCATCGAGTGCCCTCCCTGGCCCTTCCCCACTCTCAGGTCATCAGGAGCCTCCCCGCTCCAGTGCTCACCATCCTCCCCTTACCTTGAGGTCATACTTCCTGTGCACAGGAAGACGATGGCTAAACATGTTGCGCATCACAAGCATGTAGCTGTCCTCGTTGTCCACGCTAACCCGGTACATGCCCAGGAACTGGGGCAGCAGCGTGCTGCCATGGCACTTCACAATGTACTGTGGTGGGAGGGAGGAAGGGAGGGGGAGTCTGAGCAGCAGATACACAAACAGCCCAGGGATGGGAATTCAAATGCTACTGTTCCACAGGGAGGCAGAAAACTTCAAGTAAGAAGTTACAGAAGGTCCAAAGTGGTGGGGGCTTTCTAAAGATGCCCCTGGTTATTCAGTTTCTGAATCCTCATCTCCTCTGGTTTATTCTGTTCGTATGTCTCCTAATTTTAAATGTTAATGTTGTGTTTCATCTTTATCATTCCTGGAGACAGGGAAGGCGTTATTATCCTTGTTTTGGACCTTCCTTATGTGTAAGTGATCACGGAACCAGGACTAGAAATCACATCCCTTTATCAACAAAACGATTTTATCTAGACCGATGTTTCTTGGTGGGCTAGATTCCCGTAGCAATAATGTTTGCATGATATGACCTATAATTTGCATGCTTTTTTAAAAATTTATATTTTTTTGGAAGGGGGAGGGAGGTATAATTTGCATTCTTAAAAAAAAATTCCTCTTTCAATGCTACCATCTCAGTATTGCTGCCCACTTCTCTCCATAGCCAACCTTCTCAGAAAATTAGTCAGCCATCAGTCCACTTCCTCTTTCTCATTCACACCTCAAATGACTGAAATCAGATTTATACCCTCATTTCTCCTCTGAAATTTCCCCACTCCTTACTGCTTCACATCCCTCAGTTGTGAAATCTAACAGGTACCTGGCACTACTACATTTCGAGTGGGTGGCCCTAGATACTACTGCCCAGCCTCTCCTTGTAACTCTTCACCCTGAGCTCCCATCACACTGCTCTGATTCTCCTCCCCTCTGCCTCAAATCCTGTATGGAATGAAGCAGGGAATAAATCATTAAAAGCATCCATCGACTCTTAGTCTCCTTAATGGGTTCTCTTCTCTATTTGCTCCTTAAGGTTCCGTCCTCAACCTTCTTTTCATTTCACCCTGCACTTCCCTTCAACAATCTTGTCTAAATTCAGTGATAATTAGCACCTATTTACCTGTAACTCTGAAATCTAGACTCCAAGTCTAATTCTCTTTCCTGAAACCCATACCCCAATCACTTACTGGACATCTATACCTGAATGACTGCAGAAACCCAAACTCAACATGCCTAAATCAGAACTGTCTTCCTTCAAAAACCAATTTCTTTTTCTGCTTCCCAACTGTTGGTGAATGGGCACCTAGTCATCCCCAGCCAGGAATTTGGGAGTGCCTTTGCCTTAATTCCCACAATTCTCTCAAAGGAAATGGAAAGCCATGCCCACCGCTGTCACTCCTCCAGGCCTTTGTCATTTCTCACCTGGACTATTATAATTACCTCCTAACTGGTATCTCCACTCCCAGTATTTCCCCTCTGCAATCCAGTCTCTAAAATGCTGTCACGGGGATGTTTCTAAATAACATATATATCACTCTGCTGCAAACCACCTTCAAGATGAAGCCCAAGCTCTTTGTGTGGCTTATAAAACCCTTCCCAGTCTGGCTCCTGCCTAACTATTTTTCCACAATGCCATATCCCAGCCACACTGAATTTCCTGTGGTTCTGCAATGCCAAGCTCTCTTGTGGCTCTGTTTTCCTTTGCCTAGAATGCTCTCTTCCATCTTGTCCAATGGCTAGTCCCTACTAGTCATTCAAGAATCAACTCCCAGGATACTCCCTCTAAAAGACTCTCTTTGAGCCTCTCAAGTGCACCTCTTGCCCCAGGTGAGCCAGGATGCTCCTCCTCTGCCACCCAGGGCATTCTGAAGGTACCTCTGCTCCTTGCACGTGTCTTGCTGCGTGCTAACGCTGGCTTACCGGGCTCTACCATTAGATCAAGAGATCCTCCAAGGCCATGGCCGTTTCATTCACTTCTTTCTCTACTGTCTAACGTAGAGCCTGGTTAATGACAGATATTCAGTATCTGTTGAATAACCAAAAACTCTTTTTAGAGTCTTTCATTTATTCCTTGCTCATTGATTTTGATGAGATTTTTCTTTAGTAGAAAGTATTCAGTCATGTTTTTATTCCCAAAATATTCCAGGCACTTCACATTCCAGATTCATCTGATCAGACAAAACAGGTTCCCCTAATCCCAGTTAGAGCTGGATGTGATCATGGCATCTCCTCTCCAGTTTATCCCATTTATCCTGGTTTTCTCCCCAAACTGCATCTGTCCCTGATGGTACATTTGGTATTGACACTTCACCCGGTCTGACTATAGTTAATCCTTTACTCTACACATGCCCTTCACGTATCAATCCACAGTGGTTTTAGGTTGTAAGCACCAAATGAGAAGGAACATGTCTAAACTCTTCTAGTTAGTGAAACACAAACAGGCATATAGAGGCTTTCTTTGTGAAATGCCTAGTTTTCAAAAGCATGATGTCAAGTGCTTCTTGGGGAGCAACATGGGTTTTGGGAGGAAGAGGGGAAGGGTATCTCCCCATGCGCTCTGGCCGCTAAGCTGAACGGGGAGGGGAGGGGAGGAACGAGGCTGGAGAGAGGCTGACCTGGTGGTAGTTGGAGAGGTTGCTGTGCATGTCAGCAATGTCCTCACTGGATACTTCTTTGATGACCAGAGTCCGATCATAGGAGATAAGGAAGCGACCGTCACTGCCTTCAGTTTCACTCGGGGGGCTTCGGGTTAGGGACACCTGGGGACACAGGATAGGCTAGAGGCTCTTTTCTTTCCTCTTTATATGGAGAAGTAAGTCACAGGGATGGTGGTCACTGAGCACATCTGAAAGTGGATAGAACCCTAGCATAAGAGGATGAGCAGGGGTTCTAAATCTGGTGTCCATAGTTGGACTCAATGAAATTGAAAGCAAAATTTTTAATGTATCTACATTTTTTCCCCCAAGGACAGGGTTTACAGCTTTCATCAGATTTTGGAAGATGCCTGTGACCACAGAAAGGTTAAGAATCATACTGGTCAAGGCCCTCACTTCTCCAAACATGACGGTCCCAATGATTCCTCAGTTGTCAGGGAGAAAGGACTGCCCTCACCCCATAATGGACTCTCACCAAGTAGTCCTGGTCATCAATGCCAAATCGATCACGGAGGTTCCTGAAGACCTGGGGACAATACTCCTTGAACTTGAAATGACTGGGCAGATTTTCCCTGCAATAGGGGTTTTCAAGATAAGAAAACAAATTAACAATATTACCTTACATTTATATAGGGCTAGACAGTTTGTAAAACACCTTCACACGTATCATCTTATCTGATTCTCATAAAACCCTAGTGAGGGCCTTTAAAGGTGTATTATTCCCATTTTATAGAAGGGGAGACTGGCTCAGGGTGGTTGAGTGACCTGCTTAAGTCTTGTGACTTACAGTAAATAGCTTAAGCAGAACCAGGATCTACTGCTCATCCAAACAGCAGCATTTCCCAAATCTTGAGCGAGTCAGAGACACCCTTAAATCAGTAACAGGTGCCCCTGTTTTGAATGGCCTCTCCTGCTCCTAGGAGGGCTTAGAGGACTCGGGTAATTCTTTCAGGTTGTCCCTCTTAGATGCTAACAGTGATGGCATCCAAACGTATCTACCCAGGGAATCGCCAGGCTAGAGGTGAGATAAACTAGTACATGCAGCTAAGGGTGTAGGGAACACTGGAAATTATTTTAGTGGTTTCTTTACACAACACAATTAAATTTCTGCATTGGGAAGACCAGACAATACAGTACAACTTGTAAGTTGCCTTCTAGATCTAAAACCTTTAACGCATTGAATCTTAACTCTGAAAATTATTTTTTAGTCTCTTCTAGGAAGGCTGACACGACAAGGGTGGGGATTCCTCCATACCTGTGGAAAAGGTGATTGTTGACCTTGATTTTGGAGCTGGCCTTAAAGTCGTCAGGCAGCAGCATCACCGGGGGAGGCACCTGGCTGAGCTCATTGATCTGATAAGCCAAAACAAGAAGAGAGAGGCGGTGAGTAGGGGTGGGGAGAGCAGCTTATATACTGTGTCTGGGCAAGAGTCAGGAAAGGGCAACTCAAACCTCATTCCTTTAAAAACACTGGTTATGCAGAGGTGAGGGAATGTCTGACCTCTTCTGCTGCCTAACAAGGCCTGCAGGAAGCAACCCTTGCACACAGCCCCTCACGCACACTCCCGCCCCCCTGGAACTTCATGCTCACAACAGTCATTGTATATTAGGCAAACCCTGCAAGCAACTCAGGACTATTTTTAAAGCTGTGAGAAATTCTAGAGAAAAAAGATACCCTTGGCAGACTCAAGACATTCAAAACAAACAGTTCCATGCTCCACTGGAAACAAAACAAAATGCATTTTCAAAGTACAAAGAGTTAATGAGAGTCCGAGGGGTCAACCACTGGAAGAATGAAAAGGCCATATCCGAAGGAGGCACCTCCCTTCAAACAGGACCAGTCTTTCCAGACCACTCTGACCCAGTTCTTTGCAATAGTTCCGCACCTGCCTAGGTGTAAAGTAAAAGAAAAGCAGATGATTTCAGTGGGAATGCAGGCAGGTGGAGGATATGAGATCATTAGGCGTCTGTTCACTAAAGGCAAGACAACCCACAGCCCAAAGGATGCAAGAAGCATCACATGCTCTCCTCAGCCCCCAGAATCAGCAGTCTGCTAATTCACGGTGGAAAAGGAGTTCCTGCACTAAGGAACCCTGAGGAGATGTGCTTTCTCCCCCGTTGCCACAGTGTCCTTCACCCATCTTTAATAGTGCACTTACCATGTGACTTTAATCACTAGTTTATGTGGGTTCTCCACCTAGGTTGTGAGCTCTTCCAGGGCGAGGACCAGTTCTAGTCATCTACCTCTCTCAGGTGCCCAGCTAACACAGCATCTGGCACACGGTGGTCCTGACATGTTTATTAACTGAATAAACGGATGCCTTGTCTATCCTTACTTGATCGTTTGACAGAGGTTATGAAGTACAGTCTAACCTACATCCCATAACCTGCAGTGAAACCCAGCTCCTCTCATTCTCAGTAGAAAAGGAGGACAGAACATATTCCTCCAAGGAAAAAAAAAAAAAAAGACAAGCTACTAGAGATTCCCAGCCTCAAATTCAGCTATAGTTCTTCATGCCCCCTCCTCGCCACCTGCTGTTAAGCAGGCTGAATCATCACTAAGACATATGTTCAAGGAATTTCTCTATTCCAGACACTTAAAGTAAATGTGTGCTGGATAGAGAGTAGGGTACTGGGGCTAAAGTATATAGACCTAGGGAAGCTGAGGCAGGTCATATGTGTAATTCCCCAATCCTTATCAAAGGAAAGCCCTCCTTGTTAAGCTTCCCAAAGGGATGGATGGACCTGGAAGGTACAGAAGAGAGGCAGTCCTACCTCCCATCAGCCTTGCCCATATCAAGTGCCTTAGACCGAGTACTCCCGGATAAGATAACACCACCCAGGGAGCTGGGAGCCACCCACAGAGCCACAGATGCAAAAGGGGGTTGACTGACCCCAAATGACATTTTAAGCCACACATTAAGAATGTGACAAAAACTGCATTCTTCCTCATCCCCTTCCACCTCCACAACACTACCATGACTATAACATTTCAAGGAAGATGAAGTTTTAAAATATTGCCTGTCCAATTCAAGGTCACTCCATCTTTCCCACTCCAGATCTGAGGGAAGCGGAGCGATGGCTGTGTCACCTGAGTTATCGTCAGGAAAGGAGATGAGCTGGCCTCTTTGGCCTCCTCCTGATTTCCAGGTCATACAGTCTAAGGCAATTCCCTGCTTGTAAAATTCACCGCCATAGCGTTCCCAGCACCAGAGCTCCTGGATCATCTCTTTGGTCAAAGATGGCCCTCACTTAAATAAATACCATCACTCCAGCCAGCAATAGGTTGCAGTTAAGACCAAAGACTTATATACATTAAGTCCTGAGTGAGTGCAACTATTTTGCTTAGGGTGGGGCAGCTTCTCTGAAACGCTGTACCTCTGGAAGGGAAAGGAAGGGACATGCAGACTTAGAAGGTCCAGGAAGCCTGGAGCTTCCCCTAAAGCCAAGGTTCCAAAGTCAAGCACAGCGGCTGGAAAGCAAGGTGCAAAGGAAAGTGAACTATCCCCCTCATCAATTACCCTCCCTGCTCCACTTCTACAGTCACACTCACACTCTCACCGGAGACCTCACCACCAACCCAAAAGAGCCACTCCCCCTAATGTCCTTCCAGACGGAGGCGGGTCCCGGCCGGTCTTCGTGGCCTGGGGCTGAGGCTGGAACTGGCAGGAAGGAGGCAGGGAGCTGGATTTCAGGTGGGGAAGACGGAAACAGAGAGAAGTAAACGGCAGAGGGAGGGAGGAAAGGTCCATGTTTAAAAAAACAGAGGTCTAGAGCAAGAAGGTACGCTGAGGGAACATCTGGAGGTAGGTGGGCAGGGACCAGGACGGCCCGGGGGAAAAGTGGCGGCGCGAGGGGCTCCGGAGACGGAAGCCGGGAAACAAGGACGCCCGGAGGCGCAGGAGCTGAGCGGTTCGGACAGGGCCGCCGCGGGGCGAGGGCCGGGTCTCACCGAGTGCGCTACGCCCCAGAGGAACACGCCCACCAGAGGGTCGGCCGCCCGGAACACCTTCACCTTCTGCTGCACGAAATGCTTCTTCTTGGTTTTGG